CCAGGGGCGGCTGCTGCAGTGGCGGCTGCTCCAGGGGCGGCTCGGCTGCTGGGCGACTCGGCAGCTCAGCTGCTGGGCGGCTCGGCGGCTCGGCTGCTCGCTAGGGGCGGCGACGGGGCCGGGTAGGGGCAGCGACGGGGCCGCTAGGGGCGGGGAGCGGCGACGGGGCCGCTAGGGGCGGCGACGGGGCCGCGTAGGGGCGGCTACGAGGCTGCGTAGGGGCGGCGACGGGGCCGCGTAGGGAGGGAAGCGGCGACGGGGCCGCTAGGGGCGGCGACGGGGCCGCGTAGGGGCGGCTACAAGGCCGCGTAGGGGCGGCGACGGGGCCGCGTAGGGAGGGAGGCGGCTACGGGGCCGCTAGGGGCGGCGACGGGGCCGCGTAGGGGCGGCGACAGGGCCGCGTAGGGAGGGAGGAGGCGACGGGGCCGTTAGGGGCGGCGACGGGGCCGCGTAGGGGCGGCGACGGGGCCGCTAGGGGCGGCGACGGGGCCGCGTAGGGGCGGCGACGGGGCCGCGTAGGGAGGGGAGCGGCGACGGGGCCGCTAGGGGCGGCGACGGGGCCGCGTAAGGGCGGCGACGGGGCCGCGTAGGGGCGGCTACGGGGCCGCGTAGGGAGGGGAGCGGCGACGGGGCCGCTAGGGGCGGCGACGGGGCCGCGTGGGGCGGCAACGCGGCCGCGTAGGGGCGGCGACGGGGCCGCGTAGGGGCGGCGACGGGGCCGCGTAGGGAGGGGAGTGGCTATGGGGCCGCTAGGGGCGGCGACGGGGCCGCGTAGGGGCGGCGACGGGGCCGCTAGGGGCGGCGACGGGGCCGCGTAGGGGCGGCAACGGGGCCGCGTAGGGAGGGAGGCGGCAACGGGGCCGCTAAGGGCGGCGACAGGGCCGCTAGGGGCGGCTACGGGGCCGCGTAGGGGCGGCAATGGGGCCGCTAGGGGCCGCAAGGGGCCTGGAAGGGCGGCAACGGGGCCGCTAGGGGCGGCGACGGGGCCGCTAAGGGTGGCGCGAGGGGCCGTGAGAGGGGCCTCTAAGAGAGCTCGACAGAAGGGCGGCCCACAAGGCGCGCCTCGGGCAGGAGCGACTGTCGCTCCGGTCAGAAAAAAAAAAAAGGTTTCAGTGGTGGGCCCAAGGAAGCGTTCCCACTAGGGAACCTGCTCTATACCATGAGAAGAAATGAGGAATGAATTGACTAAGGGAATGTTGGGTACAAAAGCAAACCCTAGAAAACTGTACCCCATATGTGCTACCCCACTATAGCCTACAGTAGCTATGTCATATAAATCTGACAGCATGTGTAGTCGTCAACAACCAGCAGGAAGTAGTGCTCGCGGTCCGTTCCACCGATGGGGGCCGGGCCCCACACATCTATGTGGAGAGTCTGCAGAGGAGCAGTGGTCGGAGGAAACTCGGAGGAGTGAGGAGCGGCGCGCTGCCACCCCTCGACGCAAGGAAGGCAAGCGAGCGCGGCAGGGGGGGCAGGGTGCTATGGAGGCCAGAGACAAGGAGACGGGAGTGCATGCTGCGTAGACGCGGCAGGGAGGGGTGACCAAGACGGTGGTGCCAGCGCTGAGTCTCGTGCGTGAGTAATCTGCACGAGCAAGACGCAGCTAACTGTCCCGACGCAGACGCCCGACTCGACGCGGCCACCTGACCTGACTCGGCCACCTGTGCAAACGCAGTGGTTAGTGTATACAGACTAGACCCAGGCTGTCGAGTGAACGTAGCCAGGTGACGGCCAGTCCGGGAGCACGTACAGATCGTCACGCGCTGCCCTCCAGGAATAAAGGTATCAACCCAGACATCCTAAATGGCAGCGTTGCTCACCAAGTTCGTTGAGAACGTGGGGAGGTGGAGACCTGGATAGCCGGATGGGACTGCTCGATAAGGGGGACCGTGGAGGCTCTCGCAACTACTGGGCCCCCAGAGGGGTCAGCCAGTGAGACTGGGACAGGTGCTGTGAGTGGTGTGACTGTGGTGTAATCACGAAAGAAGCAACGTGACGCGCCTGAGTCAAGCGTGAAAGTGTGCAAGACCTCAGCTGAGGCAGGACCTGTGGCAGTAGACGCACTAGCACCTAGAGCATCGGCAGACTCACGGGCACCTAGAGCTGCAGCAGACTCACTAGTACCTGGAGCGGCAGCAGACTCACTAGCACCTGGGGCGGCAGCAGACTCACTAGAACCGAGAGCAGGAACCTCTACACAGCCAGGGTCGCATCGTTGAGAAGCACAGTCACGACGTCGCTTAGGCCTCAGAAAATCAAATCCTCCACCACCAGGCCTGCCTCGCTGAACAACCCACTCACGGAGCTGCTGAGGGGTGGGGTCGTCCAGGAGAGGCAGTGCCCGCTGCTGTCCACCCCTGGCCACAGCAACTGCCGCGATAGTGGCCATGACAGACAGCGACGGTTAGGAGTAGGTCCAGCACCTCCAGCTCCTCTAGCACCAGCTGCACCTCCAGCACTCCCTGCAGCACCTCCACCAGCAGCAGTAGTAGTACGAGTAGCAGCAGCAATAGTAGTTTTTTTTTTTTTTTTTTAGGGTTTAGGGTTGCGTGCGGGCTGCAGAGGCAGCGCCCACAAACTACAAAAGGACGCGCAGCTCGGCAGGGCAGCTCGCGGGCTGCAGGGGGCAGCGCCCACAGGCTGCAGGGGTGACGCCCGGCTCGGCAGGGCGGCGCGCGGGCTGTAGGGGCAGCGCGTGGCTCGGCAGGGTGGCGCCCAGGCTGCAGGGGCGACGCTCGGCTCGGCAGGGCGGCGCGCGGGCAGCAGGGGCAGTGCCCACGGGCTGCAGGGGCGACGCGCGGCTCGGCAGGGCGGCGTACGGGCTATAGGGGCGGTGCGCGGCTCGGCAGGGCGGCGCCCAGGCTGCAGGGGCGACGCTCGGCTCGACAGGGCGGTGCACGGGCAGCAGGGGCAGTGTCCACGGGCTGCAGGGGCGATGTGCGGCTCGGCAGGGCGGCGTACGGGCTGCAGGGGCAGCGCCCACGGGCTGCAGGGGCAACGCGCAGCTCGGCAGGGCGGCGCGCGGGCTGAAGGGGCAGCGCCCACGGACTGCAGGGGCGATGCGCGGCTCGGCAGGGTGGCGCGCGGGCTGCAGAGGCAGCGCCCACGGGCTGCAGGGGCGAACGTGCGGGCTGCAGGGGCAGCACGCGGGCCACAGGGGCAGGCACGGCTGCAGGGGCAGCACGGTCGCAGGGGCAAGCACGGCTGCAGGGGCAGCACGGTCGCAGGGGCGAGCACGGCTGCAGGGGCAGCGCGGTCGCAAGGGCAACGCGCAGGCTGCAAGGGCAGCGCGGCTGCAGGAGCAGCGTAGGAAGAAAAACATTTACGCGTAGGGCAGGGCGGAACGTTCGGTGTGCCCTAGGAACGATTCTGCTCTAATATCATGTTAGAATAAGCAGGCAGGAATGATTGTATTGAGAAGGAAGGGCAGTACAAGTAGTCCTAACCCTAGAGTATTGTACCCCTTGTAGGCTAACCCACTATAGCCTAGAGATAACACAAACATACAGTTTGACAATTTTTTTGTAGGGTAGACGAGTGAGTGGCCACAAAAGAGCAAGTAGCGGAGAAAGAAGGGAAAGCACAAGCAATTCGCAAATCTACCCTATCGTTTGCAAGAGAAAAGAAAGCAATGGCAGATCGCTGGTCAACCTGTGATGCGGCACTAGCTGTCCAGAATAGACGTAGGTGCTCTATAAGGGGGAAACATACTGTTAGCAACTCATTCCAAGATACGATACTGGTACCTATAATCCTTCTTAGAAACTTATGGAGCGTATTTTATCAGTCATGTACTTAAGTCTTGCTTTTAGTATTGAAAAGAATCACGAGAGTGTTGGACTGCAAGGAATCGCACATTATCAGTGTCGACCAGTAACGAAGCGCCACCCACCCTTAGGGCGTGTAAAATCGCCGCACCCAAAATTTCGGCCACTAGCCAAATGGCCGAATTGGCGAAAGTAATCCGTTTGCGAGAATCAAGAAGATGCTCGCGACCGTCGTTTATTTCGCCAATAAAAACGAAATTGATGGCCGTTTTGAAAGTCGACTCGTATCCGACACAATGTCGACTCCAATTCGGCTAAGTAGTCGACACCTTGAGCGACTATCACGTACGACGTCGCACGGTCTCGCAGAACGACTGAAAAGTTTTATCCTGTCCAATCAGAGTTTTCGCCGTCAAATGTGCGACCCCGTCGCACATACGTTCCTACTGTAGCAACTGCAAATTTTACAACTTTTGAAACCGGCCTGGAATTCGGCCCTCAAACCGGTAAAGTTTGCAAAACTGCAAATAGTGGCTGTAAATGTGACGACACGAAGTCGACCAATCCGTCGACTTTCGCGAGTGAAATGTCGACCACATGGTCGACGTAAAACCGGCCAAAAGCAGATTTCGCATATTTGCGGGGATTTTACACGCCCTTATCACTATCCTCTACTCTTCGAAGGAACTCTTGACCGTTCTCTATCACTAACCGCACCCTATCACTGCTTAAATCACTGAACCGCAGGCGATCGAGAACATAACCCAATATACCAATAACACATATCGCCGACGGAAATGGACTCGATGCACTCACCCAGCCAGCCTAGCCCATTCACATCAGCAGCACTAGCCTGACTGTGGGAACGCATCGCAAATCCAATATGCTCCCGCTCAGTACGCGCAGAGCCAGCACTGCCGACCACGGTGGTGACCACCCGCGCGAGGCTGGCTGGGGGAGTTCCTACAGCAGCTTCCTCACAGCAACCCCGTTCCGCCTGAACATCCGCCTGCCGTGTCGCTCTCACTCGCAAGCAACGTGCATCGTTACGAGACTCTCGCGTACAGTGCTGGGTGATGGGCGAATAGTACAAATGCCTCATTTCTACGACTACTGCTCATTCGTTATCCATCAGCCTCCAAACTATCTGTCACGTTCACGGTGAGTTAACTCGTAGATTGACTCCCTCCACACCTACTACTATAGTACCAGCTAGTACTGTAGCTCGTTCTCATGGTGACGACTACTATAACGGGTGATGACTTCGAAAGGTGTGCTCTCTCGGGTAAGAAACCCGCCCTCGTCTTCTTTCGCCCTCCCGGGAGCTCCGAATCGCTCGTTCCCCTCATCACTGCTCTCTCCTCGAAATTTCTGTTAAGGGCCTACTTTTACACGATGGACGTCCATCGGAGCAGCCACCTTAACGTTCCCACGTTTGAGAAGGAGGATTTCCAGAACGCGCCGGTTGTGAAGATCTACAGCGATGGAAGCGTGGTTGAGACGTTCCGTAACCTCGACAGCCGGGAGGCCCTGCAAGAAGCCCTCGAAAGCGCTAAGAAATGCCTCGATGATATCGCGCCGCCGCCGTTTGAGTGAGGCGCTACCCGTTCAGCTGTCTTGGTCAGTTCGTGAGATGGACTGTGTTTGCACTATAATGAAATTGAGTTCGAGTTTCAGGGATCAGTTAGGGTTTGCGGTCACTGTATGCTGATAAATTGTGCAAATTATAGATTGAAGGCTGAGGTAGCATGTGAAGCGTGTATTAGTTCCTGCTGCACTTGTGGAGCGGATGGAAACTCACACACTAGGCTCTGCGTTGCGTATACACCCGAAAAAAACGATTGAAGCTCTTTAATAGGAAATCAGCTGAGTGCTTGTGTTGTGATCCTATAGGATCGTCATGATTGATGGCATTGCACGAAGGAGAGCGAAGCAGTTGATAGGGGGATGAGGCGAATGCAGCACTGACAAAAGCCGAGACGGAGAGATGAGATGGCCCCTCCCTCCGTGCCCTTCCCCTTCCCTCCCCCCTCTGCCCTGCTCTCTACCCCGTGCTTCAGGCAACGGAGGCAGAGGGCATACCGTAGTGTTCTTTGCCAAGCTGGAGTGTTCAATGATTGGCAGGATTGTGCATTCCAGCGACATGCGGCATGGTGCTGAGGCCGCGTGACCTGCCGCCCATCACTGGAGGCATGTGGGGCATCATTGCTGTGGCATGGCTGGATGAACGGATTGCCCATTAGCAAGGCTGGTCGTTTTTTAGGCGCCTCAAAAACGACCTCAGTGCACGTAGGTATGTCATCATGCTATGGCATGGCTGGATGAATGAACGGATTGCCCATTAGCAAGGCTGGTGCGGCCTTCTGAGGGTCCAAGGACTTTGCACAGAGGTAAGCCCTTTGTGCGCTCCACTCTGAGAGAGACAGGTCTCAGAAGTATAGTCGAAGGGTTCTCCAGAGTGGTCAGGGTTAACAGACTTTTTTTCCGCTCTTTTCTTCCCTCTCCCCTTCACCTCCTTCTCGCCCCCACCAGCATCTGTGCCACATTCTCCCATCCCCCTCCTCTCCCTCTCCCTCTCCCTCTCCCTTCCCTCTCCCTCTCCCTTCCCTCTTCCTCTCCCTCTCCCTCCCCCCCTTACCAGGATCTGTATCTCATTCTCACAGAGCCCGAGGCGAACATGATTCGGCAACACAAACCTCCCTCTCTCACACACTTCGACCTAAAAATCCAGGAGGTGCTGCCATCCAGGAGGTGCTGCTATCCAGGAGGTGCTGCTATCCAGGAGGTGCTGCTATCCAGGAGGTGCTGCTATCCAGGAGGTGCTGCTATCCAGGAGGTGCTGCTATCCAGGAGGTGCTGCTATCCAGGAGGTGCTGCCATCCCTGCTGTGGTGTGGCATGCGGTGTGGCATGCGCTGCTGAGGCATGTGGTGCTGAGGTGTGGCATTCGGTGCTGAGGTGTGCCATGCGTGCTGAGGTGTGGCATGCGTTGATGTGGTGTGGCATGCATTATGGTCGGTGAGGTGTGTTGGTGAGCGTGCTACGGGTCTCACCAGCCAGGCCTGCTGATGCACGGCTTTCTTATTTTGTGCGTTGTTCAGTTGACTTCAAAACACTTTCTCTGTTTTTTCCGGGCTGTCCTGTTTGGTATGGTGTTCAGTTGACTTCTATCTGGCATTGCCGGGCTTTTGGGTTTCTACGCAAAGGCATTTGCATTCGCCTGCTTGTCATCCATAGTGCGGTTGTGCTAAAGAAGGTGTTTATTTTCCTGTGTGCGCGTGTGGATGTGTATGTGTATGTATCTATGGATTGCAGATCAACCACACAATGGACAAAAATTGGTGCGAGAAGGTTGCACACGGTGAGTCAGATTAAGCGAGACTGGGTGAGACTGGGTGAGACTGGGTGAGACTGGGTGAGACTGGGTGAGAGATGACACGCTGTTGGGATGTCTCAGTGTGAGTTTGCATACGGTGAGTGAGACTTGAGTGAGAGGACGGATGGGAAGGGGGTATTGGACGGGGAGGGCTGTACAGTGAGTGGTTCTTCATTGTCAGCTGGGATTTGCATGCCTGCATGCCTGCATGCATGCACTCAAATGAGAATTGAAGCTCCACTACTCCATGCCTGCCTTCTCAAATGAGATTTGGAGCGCCCTTCTGCCAAGACAATTGTTGGAGCGGGGTGGTGGGAGGCCATCAGCTTCCATGCACCAGAGAGAACACTAGCAACATCTCAACCCCCAATCCTCACCTTCCCCATCGCCTCGCATCCCCGTGCATGCTCCTTCCCGTGGCGCCATGGCAGGTGTTGGAGCGGGGTGCTGGGGGGCATCAGCTTCCATGCGCAGAGAGGAAAGGGGAGAAATGTGTGGAGGATCAAAGAGGTGTGTTGCACGCCCGATCAAGAGGTGTGCTGCCTGGGTGCTGGCTGAAATTTGGGATCTTCTCTGAAACGTTTTGGCAATTTGGTGTGCGTATGCCTGAATATTACTACCCGGATAATTGCTGGTGACGTCAACTTCCATCCTGTCCTTTATTTTCAACCTCTGTGTCCTTGCCTCCTTTCCTGTTTTCCTTGGCACGACAATAGCCCACGCGCACTCGCAACAGCCAACTCCCTCACTGACCCCATCAAGTGGCCCGCCCGGCTGTTCACACTCGCCTCGCCTCCCCACGCATTCTTCCTTCTTCCTTCCACGCCTTCCATTCCCATTAATGCCCACCGCCCTCCCTTCCCAGAAACGGCTTCTAATCACTGACCGTTCCATCGAATGCAACCCCTTCCAAGCCCGGTCCCTTCCCTTCCTTTCCCCTCCCTCCACGCCCATCCTCTTCCCTTCCTTTCCCCTCCCTCCACGCCCATCCTCTTCCCTTCCTTTCCCCTCCCTCCACGCCCATCCTCTTCCCTTCCTTTCCCCTCCCTCCACGCCCATCCTCTTCCCTTCCTTTCCCCTCCCTCCACGCCCATCCTCTTCCCTTCCTTTCCCCTCCCTCCACGCCCATCCTCTTCCCTTCCTTTCCCCTCCCTCCACGCCCGTTCCCTTCCGTTCCCTTCCCTTCTTCCCAAGTCCCCTCCCAACCCCCTCCAATCGTTACATTCACTTCCATTCGCTTCCCTTGTTGACACTACCCAAACCAGGGCGACAACTCGTCATGACGACCTTTCCCTTGCCTCCCCTGCCATTCCCTCCCCTCCCCCGCCCCCTCCAATCGTTACATTCACTTCCATTCGCTTCCCTTGTTGACACTACCCAAACCAGGGCGACAACTCGTCATGACGACCTTTCCCTTGCCTCCCCTGCCATTCCCTCCCCTCCCCCACCCCCTCCAATCGTTACATTCACTTCCATTCGCTTCCCTTGTTGACACTACCCAAACCAGGGCGACAACTCGTCATGACGACCTTTCCCTTGCCTCCCCTGCCATTCCCTCCCCTCCCCCGCCCCCTCCAATCGTTACATTCACTTCCATTCGCTTCCCTTGTTGACACTACCCAAACCAGGGCGACAACTCGTCATGACGACCTTTCCCTTGCCTCCCCTGCCATTCCCTCCCCTCCCCCGCCCCCTCCAATCGTTACATTCACTTCCATTCGCTTCCCTTGTTGACACTACCCAAACCAGGGCGACAACTCGTCATGACGACCTTTCCCTTGCCTCCCCTGCCATTCCCTCCCCTCCCCCACCCCCTCCAATCGTTACATTCACTTCCATTCCATTCGCTTCCCTTGTTGTCACTTCCCAAGCCAGCGCGAGAACAACTCGTCATGACGACCTTTCCCCTGCCTCCCCTGCCATTCCCTCCCCTTCCAACCCCATCCGCCCGCCTTCCCGCCCTCCCCCACCCCCGATATTTTCCCTTTCTCTCCCATTTTGTGGCCTTATAGCCAGCGCCACTCCGCTGATGCGAGCATGGAAGAGGGAGGGTGGGGGATACGCGTGCATCATGGTGCAAGATTGGAATCTAGGTTAGCTGCTAGGCTTCCTACACCAGGTAAGTCGTCCCAGTGCATCCCCCTCATTCCCCACGTTCCCATCCTGCCCTTGCTTTCTTGTCATTCCCATCCTGCGCTTCCTTTCGTGACCTTCCCTTCTTGCCCGTCCCTTCCTCCCCTTCCTCCCCCTTCCCGTCCCTTCCCTGGTTTATTTCCTATCTGTTATCTTCCCCTCTATTCCCATCCCTTCTCATTCCTTCGCCTCCTTCCTCCTTTCTTCCTCCCTCTTCCCTACCTCCCGTTCTCGCCTCCACGCCTCTCCATCTCTCCTCCCTGCCTCCCCAGCTTCCAATCATGCCTTCCCATCTCCTCTCCTGTCGATCCATCCCCTTCCTGGCGCCCCATCTTCCTAGCCTGCCTCCACAAGTCCCTTTCTTGCCTTTCGATCTCCTGGTCCTGCCTCCGCAGTCGCCCCTTCCTGCTTTCCCAACTCCCCATCCCTCCTCACTTCGTTTCCGCTTTAAACAGGACAGGACAGTGCCGGGCTCAGGCGAGCAAGGCATCGTACAGGAAGCAGCAGCAGGCACAAAAGAGTCTTGTGGAGCAAAGGCAACAGCAAGAGTAGGCAACAGCGCACGTAGTCGCTGCGACAGCAACAACGCACGCACGCGCACTCGCAGCACCCAAACTTTTGAGGATTCTTAAAAGCGATTCTGTCATGAGGCACCGGGTTTATTTTTGAGGCGCCTCAAAAAGCACCCAAACTTTTGAGGATTCTTACAAGTGATTCTGTCATGAGGCACCGGGTCTATTTTTGAGGCGCCTCAAAACTGAGGCGATTTTTGAGGCGCCACAAAAAGCACCCAAACTTTTGAGGATTCTTAAAAGTGGTTCTGTCATGAGGCACCGGGCCTGCGAACAGAATCACTCCGGCATCGCCCGCCGGACTCATCACGAGCCCCTCCCGACCTCTCACACACTCGCCTCGCGTGCACCCCCACACACCCTTCCTCCTCGCCACATGCCTTCCATCCCCAGAACGGTATCAATCCTCAACACCCTCACTTCCTTGAAACGGCTTCGAATCACTGTCCATCCCATAAACTACCATCTCTTCCATACCCGTTCCCTCGCCTTCCCACCCTCCCCGCTTCCATTCCCGTCCCTTCTCTTTCCCCCACAACCCCTCATACGGTATGCTAGCATGCCAAGGGCTCAGTGGGTAAGTCTTCTACCGTATGTCTGGATCTGCTAACTCCATTAAATAGGCAGTGCTAGGGGTCGGATCTGGGTGGGCAGGTTAAGGGTGGGTCGGGTTAGATTTGGGGTCGGATAATGGTGGGAGGGATTGTAGTGTGCACCTAAAATTGGTGAACACATTTCTCAACAAATTTTAATTTTGATGTTTGACTAGGCCTAGTCCTCACATGAATGTAAGACTTCAGGTGATTTGTACATAGTTTAGGGATCACCAAAGTAAGCAGAATCATTATTGGTGGTCTCACAATGAAGAGCTCAGGAGGGTTTGTCAAGTGATTATGCAAAGCTTGGGTTATGGTGTGTGTTGTTCCTAGCTGTCCATTCAACTGGAACTTAAATGCAAACTTTACATGGTAAACTCTTTCTCCAGCTTATATGGCACATTCAATCTGCACATATCGTGACCGCAAACCTAACCTTCACGAACTGGCACCGACAGCCAAGTACGCCCACACTGGAAGCGCGACACACGAACTTTTATTTTCAGGCGAAAGCCTTGAGGGCTTCCTCCAGGGTCGACTTGGTCACAAAGCCCTTGAACGTCTGAAGCGCACTCCCATCCTTGTAAATCTTCACAACAGGCACATCTCGGACGCCCTCAGATCTGGTCGTCTGGGGGTTGTCGTCGATATCCATCTTGAAGACATCGACCTTTCCTGAATATTCCCACTTGAGCTGGTCAATGGAGGGAGCGACCGCTTGGGAAGGGCCGGACCATGACGCGTAGAAGAAGACGAGGGCAGGAAGCCCACCGTCCCGAACAGAGTTCGAGAAAGTGGAATCCGTCACAGTCTCCGCCATTGAAATCAGCTACTAGCGCGTACTAGGTGCGGAGGGAGACTAAGACTCGGAGTAAACCCACTGTGAACGTGGCGGAAGCCGACGTTTACCAAATGAATCGTATAAAATGTGGCACTTCGCCTTTACCCAAGCTCTTGCGGCTCTGATCCGTGTTGCAAACGAGCGCGAGGCCTTGACAGTGCAACCTGACGGAGCGAGGATGAGGGGAGGGACGTGGAGGCAAATTATGGGAAAAACGCCTCCAGCCAGCCTTGCGTGGGTGTGTGGTGGGGAGCGCGTGTGGGCGATGTTGAGCGCGGATCGGATACACGGCTGAGGCGCATTGTACACGGTCCTAAAAACGCGATTACTGTACTTTTGAGTCGACTGAAAGGCGGCCGCTCGTGGGCGATGTTGAGCGCGGAGCGAATACACGGCTGGACCGCATTGTACATGGTCCTCAAAACGGTACCTATTCAGCAGCGCGCTTTCAGCCCGAACCCGTTGATGCGGTTGCGCAGGCGGAACGAGCGCTGTCGTGAGGGTCAAGAAAATGTACTCGTCCATGTCCTGGGTTCGGTTTTGAGTAGCCTGCGATTCAGTGGGGTGGGAAAGGATGAGATGCGGTTAGTGATAGGCCACAGTCAAGAAATCAGACGAGGATGAGTGAGTGGAGTGGGGTTAGTTGAGCAGCGGCCTGGTGGATAACGATACTGTACTGTGCGATTTGGCGACCTACCACAGTCGTGATACTGTAACAAAATGTTCAGAACCAATGAATCACGCACGTTATGAAATAAATATCAATAATCGAGTGTTTCTCTCTATTCTTGAAGTTACGGATAACTGGAGGGTGCCAGCACTCTTTTGCCATAGCACTGTGCGAGGTATGATGGGAAAACTAGCAGCTATTCACCCAGAGAAAAGCCCTGTATCACATCTTGAAGCAACCTTTAATTGCTCTTTCTCGCTTCAATAACTTGCTGTCCCAAAACGATCACCCTAATTTGGTATTCCCTCCCCTTCCAGCCCCGCATCTTTCCTTCCCTCCCCTGGCCCCCCTTCCCGCCCTCCCCCCATCCCCTATCTTCCCTTTCTCTCCCATTTCGTGGCCTTAAAGCCAGTGCCACTCCGCTGATGCGAGCGTGGAAGAGGGAGGGTGGGGGAGTATGCGTGCATCAGGGTGCAAGACTATAATCTAGATATGAACAAGTGCGTCCAGATCTAGGCTTCCTACACCAGGTAAGTCGTCCCAGTGCAGCAGCCCGTCATTCCCCGCGTTCCCGTCCGGCCCTTATCTTCCCCTCCTTCCCTTCTTGCCCTTCCCTTCCTCCCCTTCCCGTCCCTTCCCTGATTTATTTCCTATCTGTTATCTTCCCCTCTATTCCCATCCCTTCGCAACCCTTCCCCTTCTTCCTCCTTTCTTCCTCCCTCTTCCCTACCTCCCATTCTTGCTGCCGCGCCTCTCCTTCACTCCTCCCTGCCTCCTCAGATGTCAATCCTACCTTCCCCATCTCCTTTCCTGTCACCCCATCTCCCCATCCCGCCTTCCCACCTCTTTCTCCTGTCGCCCCATCTCCCCATCTCCCCTTTCCGCCTTCCCACCTCCTCTCCTGTCGCCCCATCTCCCCTTTCCGCCTTCCCACCTCCTCTCCTGTCGCCCCATCTCCCCTTTCCGCCTTCCCACCTCCTCTCATGTCGCCCCATCTCCCCTTTCCGCCTTCCCACCTCATCTCCTGTCGCCCCATCTCCCCTTTCCGCCTTCCCACCTCCTCTCCTGTCGCCCCATCTCCCCTTGCCGCCTTCCCAACTCCTCTCCTGTCGCCCCATCTCCCCTTGCCATCCTCTTCCCATCCTGCCTCCACATCTCCCTTGCCTCCCCATCTCCCCATCCTGCCTCCCCATCTCCCCATCCTGCCTCCCCATCTCCCCATCCTGCCTCCCCATCTCCCCATCCCGCCTCCCCGTCTCCCCATCCTGCCTCCCCATCTCCCCATCCTGCCTCCCCATCTCCCCATCCTGCCTCCCCATCTCCCCATCCTGCCTCCTCGTCTCCCCATCCTGCCTCCCCGTCTCCCCATCCTGCCTCCCCATCTCCCCATCCTGCCTCCTCGTCTCCCCATCCCGCCTCCCCATCTCCCCATCGTTGTCCGCCTCACGAACTGACACCGACACCCAAGTACGTAGGCCCTCACACTGGGAGCGTGATACAATCGATGTTCTTTTGTTCAGATGAAATCCCTGAGGGCTTCTATCAAGGTCGACTTGGTCATTACGCCCTCGATCGTCTGAACCGCACTCCCACCCTTGTAAATCTTCACACATCAGAAAAATGTAAAACTGCCGAGAATGGGGGGGGGGGGGGGGGGGGGGGAAGGGGTCCTTTTTCGAGTTGGGAGGCCGGTAGTTTTCGATGGTTGATGAGGTGAAATTCGCACTACCCTGCTTCCCGGCAGTTTATCATCAGTTGCGCTGGATTTGTTCCTGCAGATTGTCAAAAGCCTTTCGCTTCGTTTACATCCCCCCCCTCTCGATCCCTATTTACCTCTGTTTACAGACAAGCACTGTTCAGGTGCACCACAAACCATGGTTTACGTGGCGATTGTGGTTGGATGCTTACGAGCGTTTTCATTGGTCTTCTTTTTTCAGGCACAAAGGGGAATAGATCGCGAGATGTGTGGAGTGCTTGCCAACCAACACTTCACACCCTGATTCACCTTCGCGTGGAAATGTTTGAATATTCTGGCCACGTCATCTCAGTTTCGGTTGCTGTTGAAGAGACAGAATAGTAACATGTTACACACCTCATTTTAAGAGTTGTGTCTGTTATGTTCTTTCGAAAATGTGATATTAGATAGGTATAAAAAATAAGTGACGTGGGGATCAACTCCAGCCCAATTAGCCATATGTATTGAGTTCTAAGCAAACCTTTATTAGGGCTCAGCCACAAATGTGGGGGGTCCGATATCGCGTACCACCGTCTATTAAAATATAACATGTTGACTCTAATGAAAGCGTATTATACATTTCTAAACCTATAAACATTGTGGTTATGTTGATTAGAACACTCTAGCAGTGAATTACCAACAAGGATATGCATGCGCGACACGTGGCGCATGTTTGTGTGTTTGCTGGTCCAAGGGTTTGCAAGGATAGGCCGGTGCGCAACATGTCGCATCGCCAACGTCTGGATGCATTTTTTACCACTACTTTTTCACACTGTTTAGGGCTACCACCTATTCCCTAGCCATATAAACTGGTTTCATCTCATTAGCACAACTACGCAGCTCGTGGCGCGCGTTTGTGCGTTTGCAGGCCTGAATCTGTGCAAGGATAGGCCTGTGCGCAACATGTCACTGCGCCAACATCTGAATGCATTTTTTACCGCTATTTCTTCACACAGTTCTCTACTACATCCTATTACCTAGCCATAGGAACTGATTTCTTCTCGTTAGCACAACCAGGCAGCTCGTGGCGCACGTTTGTGCGTTTGCTGGCCTGAATCTGTGCAAGGATAGGCCTGTGCGCAACATGTCACTGCGCCAACGTCTGAATGCCCTTTTTACCACTATTTCTTCACACAGTTCTCTACTGAATCCTATTACCTAGCCATAGGAACTGGTTTCATCTCGTTCGCACAATTACGCAGCTCGTGGCGCATGTTTGTGCGTTTGCTGGGCTGAATCTGTACAAGGATAGGCCTGTGCGCAACATGTCACTGCGCCAACGTCTGAATGCCTTTTTTACCACTATTTCTTCACACAGTTCTCTACTACATCCTATTACCTAGCCATAGGAACTGGTTTCATCTCGTTCGCACAACTACGCAGCTCGTGGCGCACGTTTGTGCGTTTGCTGGCCTGAATCTGTGCAAGGATAGGCCTGTGCGCAACATGTCACTGCGCCAACGTCTGAATGCCTTTTTACCACTATTTCTTCACACAGTTCTCTACTACATCCTATTACCTAGCCATAGGAACTGGTTTCATCTCGTTCGCACAACTACGCAGCTCGTGGCGCACGTTTGTGCGTTTGCTGGCCTGAATCTGTGCAAGGATAGGCCTGTGCGCAACATGTTGTGAATCAAGAAAACAGGAATGAAATGACTAAGTGAAAGTTGGGTACAAAAAGGCAAACCCTAGGCAACTGTACCCCATATGTGCTACCCCACTATAGCCTACAGTAGATATGTCATATAACTCTGACACACCCCCATAGGCAAAGTGGGGGAGAACAAGGGGTCACAAGACCAGTCAAGCAAAGCAAAGCAAGCTCAGGGTGGATCACAAAGTCACCACACATTCCGAGCACAAGTTCAAGGCCACAAGGCCAGTTCACATGCAGGATTACATATATATATAAGGCTAGACAAGCAAGAGCAGGAGTATATATATATGCAACAGTACAAACAAGGTCAAGAGGTGAGCAAGTGAGGCAAGGTAGGTACAAGACCCAGCTGAGTACAGAAGCGCTGATGATCACAAGGCGCAAGTGCCTTGGTGAAGATATCAGCAGTGTTGGCCTCAGAGGCCACGTACGCAAGTCGCAGCTGACCACGCTGCTGAAGCTCACGAGCAAGGAAGTAGCGAAGAGCAATGTGCTTCGTTCTGTGCTTCAGTCTCTGCTCTCGACACAAGGCCAGCATGGCCTTGTTGTCTACGTAGAGCACTGGAGGAGAACGAGGCGGCTCTCCGAGGTCAGTCAGCAGGTAGGTGAGCCAGCGAAGCTCCTGTGCAGCCATGGCCCCGGCGTAGATCTCAGCCTCACAACTGGAGCCGAGAACAGAAGACGAGCGAGTAGCCCGCCACGAAACAGAGCCGGAACCAAGGCTGAAGGTGTAACCCTGTGACGACCGCTGCGTAGCCTGGTCGTCAGCCCAAGAAGCGTCTGCGTGTCCAGTGAGGACCACTGGACTCTGCCCTCCAAGCACAAGCCCCATGCCCGACGTACTGCACAAGTAGCGCAACACCCTCTTCGCTGCAGCCATGTGCTCCGGTCTGTGTCTCCCAGGAGCAACATAGCGTGCAAGAATGCTAAGAGAGTATGCAAGGTCAGGTCGTGTGCAGGTCATCAGGTACATGAGGCAGCCAACAAGCTCTGGGCACGGGCCACTCGACTCTACGGACTCATCCGAAGGCAGAGCTGAGAGCGAGTGGCGAGTAGGCAGAGGAGTGGCCTGAGGCGAGGAGTACGTGAAGCCGAAGCGCTGAAGGACCTGCTGCACCATGTGTGACTGAGTCAGGGTAATGGTGCGGCGTGCTCTGTCCCGGGTGATCTGCAAGCCAAGGTAGCTGCGCAGTTCACCCAGGTCTGTGCACGTGTGTCTCTTCTGCAGCTCGGACTTCACGTGGGCGAGTCCAGCAGTGTCAGCTGTGGCAAAGACCAAGTCGTCGACGTACACGAGGATGTAGAACGGCTGCAAAGAAGTGTCGGTGCGCAGAAACAGCGACGGGTCGGCAGTAGAGGGAGCAAACCCAAGAGCCGCAAGTGTAGTCCTCAGTGTGTCGTGCCACTCACGCGGTGCCTGGCGGAGACCGTAGACTGGCCGCCGGAGGCTCCACTGGGTGCCAGGAGGAAAAGACCCAGTGAAGCCAGGTGGGCGACGCAGCCAGATCTCCTCGTGCAGGCTGCCCTGCAAGAAAGCAGTGCTGAAGTCAAGAGAGTGCAGCTCGTAGTCGCGGTGAGCAGCTATGTGCAGCAGTACCCGAAGAGTGGTCATCTTCGGGGTGGGAGAGAAGGTCTGAAAGTAGTCAACTCCCTGCCGCTGACTGAAGCCACGAGCCACGTAACGCGCCTTGAAGACAGGCGGAGAACCCGGCGGCCGCTTCACCCTGAAAATCCACATGCCACTGACGATGTTCGCCCCAGGCGGGGGAACCTCGTCAATGTAGGTGCCTGTGGACTTCCAGGAAGCCATCTCTGCGTCCATAGCTGCCTGCCACTGAGAGGAGTAGGGACCCTCTATCGCCTCCGCGTAAGAGCGCGGAGTCGGGATGTCAAGTGCATCCGGGTCTCCCTCAGGGGTAAGCAGTACGGACACGAGATGAGGTGAAGCAGCAGCCAAACACTGGAACTCCTCCTGCCTGTCCTCAAGGACGTCCGTGCCAAGGGCACACTCACCCCCGACGGACGGAGGACAGACAGACTCAGACTCAGCAACAAGACTAGCAGCGTAGTCTAGACGACAGCGAGCAGCAAAGTCGACGAGCTCAGTAACTAGGGCAGACGCAGCAGTGGACTCAAAGGAAGGGTCAGTGACAACAGTAGCAAGGAGACGCGTGACAGTAGGACTGGCAGCACGAAGAGAGTCCGACTCCGGGTCAGGAAGAGCAGGAAGAGAGGACTCAGGAGGAGAAGGCAAAGGGGCACGCAGAGGAGCAGTGGACGGACGCAGAGACATCCGGTGCGTGCCAGGGACAGGAGGAGGACGCTGACGCGAACCACGAGCACTAGTGCGAGCAGCACGGACAGGCGACGCAGGGCGAGACGCAGGCTCACGACGCTCAGCAAGACCTCCAGTAGGACCAGTGTAGGGAGAAGGAGCGGGCAGTGGGGAGGCCGGCTGTAACTGTAACTGTGACGGGACAGGCTGTGGACACTCTAAGGGAGGAGGAGGACCAGTAGAAGGCGGGAGACCAAGAACCTGCTGAAGGAGCGGAACGAAGTACGGCCTAGGCCGTGTGGCGACTCCAGACACAGCAGGGACAGCACCAGTACCCCCAGCGGCAGCACCAGCGCCAGCAGTACCTCCAGCTCCAGCACCCCAAGCAGGACCGCCTCCAGGACCGACAGCAGTAGCCTCAGCGCCAACACCCTCAGCAGCTCCAGCTCCAGTCGTACCCGCAGGCCCAGCAGCTCCAGTACTCCCAGTACGAGCACCTCCGGGACCCGCGGCACCAGCACCCTCAGCAGCCGAAGAACCTCCAGCTCCAGCAGCACGCCTCCAGCGCCGGGCAAACCACTCGCGCAGCTCCTGTGGAGAGAGTGGCTCCCGCCGAGACGAAGCACCCGGAGAACCTCCAGGCTCAGCACCGCCAGACGCCACACGAGCAGGCCCAGCTCCCTCAGGCTCCGCACCCCCAGGCTCAGCACCTCCACGCGTAGCACCCCCAGGCGTAGCACTCCCAGGCTCAGCACCCCCAGGCTCAGCACCCCCAGTAGTAGCA